GGAAAAAAAAAGTAAAATGGGAGTTCCCAGGGGCTGTGAGAGGGGGGAGGAGCAGTGTTTTTGGGGACAAAGTCTCAGTTTTACAAGATGAAAGAGCCGTGGAGCTTTGGATGGCGGTGACGGTGGCACAACCTTCTGAATGTATTTACCCCGCAGCTGCACACTTTGAAACTGCTAAGGTGGTAAATGAGAGGTCACGCATATCTCACTACATTAACCAATGAATTTGGAATAAGAGGCCAGCCATAGCTCACGGTGAAAAAGAATGCGACAATGAATATATGTACGTTCATGTATAACTGAAAAATTGTCCGTTACACTAGGAACTGACACAACATTGTAAACTCACTATAACTCAACAACAACAAAAAAGAAGCCGCTCATACAGGGACAAACACGGATTCCTCTCAAACGCAGTCCATACGGTACCAGGTTCCTGAGGCCGGGGAGGGCAGTGGTGCTTCCCAGGGATGGAGGGCAGAGGGGTGTGGAGTTAGTGTTTCATGGGGATTGAGTTTCAGGTTTGGGAGATGTAAACATTCAGTGACTGCATGGTGCTGCTGGGCTCCCAAGAATGCGAACGCCCTAATGTCACTGAACTGGACACTTAAAAAAGATGAAATTTGAAATTTTGTTTGGTATATTTTACCACAATTACATTTGAAAAAATAAATCCTTAAAACCCAGCCTTTGGGGAAACACACAACAGCACCTGAACCCTTTACCATCTGAAAGCATCTTCACACCCAGGACCGCATTTGCTGCAGCGGCCCTGAGATGGGAACAGTTACTGTCCTCTGCTTCACGAGGGGAGACTCAGACTCAGACCTGCCCCAACCCTGGGAAGCTGGGCTGGGCTCTGATTCTTGTTCTGCTCTGTTGTGCGGACTTTGCCATTTCTCCAGAGGGAGAGAAATCCTGAAACCCAAGTGTGTTCCGTAAATCCTCTCTGATAGCTAGTTATTAAAGAAAAGGGCACACTGAGCAGAAGCATGAATGTCCATGTTAAAGATAAAGATTAAACGCCCCCCGCCCTGGGACGCCCGTGCTGGTCCTCCCTGGGTGATGGGCCGCCCTTCCCAGGTGCCAAGGCCACACTGACTCGCTGTGGACGGGCTGCTCTGATGTGTTCTGTGAAACCTTGAAGGAACGCTTCCCTGAGTTGGTTGATATTCTTTGTTCGGACAAGACATAAAACTTTGCTGAAAACCATGCTTCTCCAGAGCGCTTCCTCAGAGCTCCCTGAGAGGCTGCCTTCTGTGGTGTAGTTCTCAGTTTGGCTTAAAGAAAATTCTTTTCTCTTCCTATTTTATGTCATTTAATGATTATTCACATTGACACAAGTCTACAGATGGGAATTCTGTCCTAAGACTGCAAAACAGGAAACGTGCTATGGGAATGTGCAGGGGGCCCGGCTCTTTTCCTCCCTCCGGGCCTCCTTCCTCACAGCCCACCTCCCACAGCTCCCACCTCACACAGTCCTGAGGGAGTGCCCGGGGCACCTGGGAATGAAAATCCCTGCTGACTGACCACTTGGTCCCCTGTCCTCCCATCTCAGGCCTCAGTTTCCCTCCAGGGCACTGAGCAGGCACTCAGAGACAGGATGAGTGGAAAGACCTTGATTCCTTGTATCTCAGAAATAATCCTTGGCCCCCTGAGCCTCAATGCAGAACCCCAGGGGTGGCCTCGATGTGGCCTGGCCACAAAGACAAGGGACTCTGACTCCCCCTCCTCCACATTCTCTGCTTCCTCCAAATTTCTCAAAGTACTGAGTCCCCAACATCCACCTTCCTTCTGTTGTCACCACTCACGTCTCAGCCACCTGAGCCGTTGTCGCCCTCCCTCTGCTCTGTTTGGGGCCAAGGGGGCAGGAGGAAGAGGTCACACCCACCTGCCTCCACATCCAGGCTCTGCCCTGCTTGCCCTGTGGTCCCGGGCCCCTCACCTCCTCTCCCTGAGCTTCCATTCCCTTCTTCTCCAAAACAGTCACAATTAAGTAGTGACCAGCACCCTCTTCTCAGAGAGACATGGTGAGGATGGGGAGATGGTCTGCTTACCCAGGAGTCTCCCTCTGGCTGAGTGTGACCCAGACCCAGATGTTGTCAGCTGCGCGGATCCAGTCACCAGCTGTGCGTCTGAGGAATAACCAGCCTCCTCTGGGCCCAGATGTACCCCAGAATCAAAAGGGAAAGTGAAAGCGCTGGATCCTGATTTACTCACAGGAGAGACTCAGCCTCCCAGGCCCCACCCTCAGCTACTCCCTCCCTCCCTGCTGACTTCTTAGAAATACCACACCAGACCTGACATTCCACATCCTTCTAGCTTCAGTCCATCCTGCCTCAGTCTCTGTAAAGGACCACCTGCCACCAACAGACCGGGAAGCCCAGGGCAAATCACTCCTTGACCCCACGGGCTTCCTCCCAGGCCCCTCTGCCCTCTCCACCCACCACACTCCCCAGCCCACCTGCTTTATAGACCTTCATGCCATGAGGACACGGCACAGACCCCGAACATACCAGAAGCTCCCTGTGCACCTGTCATAATTCTGCTGCTGATTACCACTCTCATGCGGGTTCTAAGCGTTGGCTCACTCAGGTTTTTCTGCCAGAACACCTGCTCCTACACCTGGAAAAATCAGGCTCCTGCTCCAAAGCCCAAATCTGGCATCACTTCCTCTGAGAAGTCCTCCAGGACCTTCCCCTGTAGAGTCCCCGGCTCTGCTCCCATGGTACCTGGGAGAGGGGCCTAACCCTAACCCTCAGCCAGTGTGTCTATGCCCCCCACTTCTTGATCAGGTCCCTCTAGACCTGGCCCTGCTGGCAGGGACAGCACCGGTGCCTTGGGTCCCACTGACCCACCCGAGGCGCCCCATCCTTGGTGGTCAGTGCCATTTGGATGGCTGCAGACGGTTGGGGGAAGGGCTGAGGGCACAGTGGTCTTTTACCCTGAGCTCATTTCCACTGGGCAACAAACCTTTTTCTCTGCAAATGGAGGATGCTTACCAGAGTCCGGTGTCCTGGCAACTCAGAAAAATCTAAAAGAGAAATCCAGCCCTGTTTCCTGTTTGGTTCCCAGGAAAGAGCCATTGGGGATGGAGGGCTGACGGTGAGCCGGGACCTGTCCTCGTAAGTACATACAATTCCCTGTATAACTGTAAGAACATTCAGCCCCTCCTCCCTGATAACCAAAGTGCGAAGTAAAGGCCCCGTACGGCTGGGCTGTGGTCTCACTTTTCTGCTCTGGTGCCCGGAGCAGGGCCTGAGGGGGCCTGGAGCCCACAGAGAGCCTGACCTCCCCTCAGGGCCGCTTCATCCCAGGAAATGTCCCTGGGGCCCCCGTGGCCACCTGCCCCAGCACTTGAGGGAGGGGCAGAAGAGTGACAGGTATGAGTCCACGAGGACCACACACTACAGTTTGGTCTTTAATCAGGCTGGAACCCAGGCCAGGAATCTGATCGGATTTTGCACATAAGGAAGCCGGTGGGGAGGGTAGTGGCAGGGGCTTTCTGCCAGCAACTCAGGGGCTTCTGTTTGGTGGGAGAACGGCAGCAGCTGACGTTCGGCAAAGGTCCATTTGTCCAAACCCCACAGACACACACTCCATCCCTGGGTGCTCAGAGCCCAGGCTGGAATGGGCATTCCTGAGCACAGACACAGAGGGGCTCAGGGGCACATGTGCCAGGACTTGACCCACTGTCCTGCAGAAAAGGGGCCCCTGACTCCCACGGGAGCTGCTTGGGGCTCGAGGACAGCCTCCTCCCCCGGAGCAGAGGGCACTAGGGACCCCACCCAAGGATGGCCCTTCCCAGGCTGGCAGCCTTGGCCATGATCCTGGACCCCGGGGCCGCCTCCTCGTGCTCTCAGGGGGTGACAGCACTCAACTCACAGAGGTGCTCTGAGGACCGACTGCGGGAACCCAGGTGACAGTGCCTAACATGGTGAGGGCCCAGCCCAGCCCCACAGGACTGAATGCTCCCATCGCTCAGAGGAACACTGAGTGGAATCAGCAGGGAAAGGCTAGTATCCATGGGAGCAATGTTGAGTGGTGGTCGTGGCAACACTGGTACCACAGAGGTTCCTAGATACACATGCAGATAGAGACATAGGGCTGTCAAGACTGGGAAAGCAGCCCAGTGGAGCAAGACGACTTCAGGCACCGTGCTGAGGCCCTCCGCTCCACCACAGAGCTTCAGGATGCTGTGGGTGGAGATTATCTGTATTTTCTTTCCAATGTGGAATTGCCTCTTGGATTCACCGTTGCATAAGCGATGGTTGGAACCAGGACCAGTAAGGAGAGTCTTCTTGTGTGTCTAGTCAGTGCACGTGTGTACACAGGCAGCCCCAAATCTGGTGCCTCTTCATCTGAAACTTTCCCCCAAGGTTTGCATCCCTATTACTCATTTTCTCCCTCACTGCTTGGCCTGACTAATTGGTCGAAGAATACAGTCACCCGAACAGGCCATTCTGTCTCCTGGGAATTGCTGAGAATGGACCTAAGCCAAGTGTTGGCAGAGCCTCAGGGGGCAGAATAGATACTCCTGGCGTTGGACCTGCCTGCGTCCTGTGCTCCCAGAACGGGGAAGGTCTCCTACTTCCTCCCGGTCTCCGACCTGCCCCCGGCACTTTCCAACAGACTCTCTTCTGCGCTTCCTTTGCCAGACTCTGTTTCTGTTGGTTGTAACCCGAGGACTCTCAGCTGACACAGCTGTGACCCGGGAACTGCATCAGATGCACAGGGAGTGCAGTGGGACTGAGCTGTCAGCGTTCAGGGGGAAGGGGATGTGTACTGAATGACCCAAAGCCGCAGTGCCCTAAAGACAGCCCAAGTGATGTCCAGCAGAGACTGTCTTCTCCAAAGGCCGGTGTTAAGAATTGACGAAGCAATGAAACTCACAATTGCAGTGGTCAGGCAAGTGGGTGCCCGTGACTGCTGACCTCTTCAGGAAGGAGTGGAAGGTTTGATGGAGGCCCCAGGGGAACACTGGCTGATGAGGAAGCAGAGGGACTGAGAAAAGTCTTCTGCGAGGTGATTTTCACAAAAGGACACAGAAGGCAGTGGAGCACGAGGTGGGTGACGTAGGAGATGTCCCGGATCTTTCTCATGTGTCTCTGTCCCTCTGCCCAGGGCTCCATGCGTGGGAGCATGTGTCGCCCTAACACGCTCCACCTGTGGCAAAACAGAGAGTCCGTGCCCAGTAGAGCAGGCCTGGGGGCTGGGGGAGAGCAACGCTCAGACACTTCCTTCTTCCCTCCCTGGAGAGGGTGAATCTGAGGCCACTGCACACAGGGTCCTCAGAATATCCTGGCAGACTCCATCCCCCGCACGGGTGACAAAGTCTAGAGCGCGGCCATGTGTTGACTTTCCCTCCTCCCCTGTTTTACTTCCCCAGCCCCTCCAAGTCTGGCTCGCAGGGATCCCATAGGCCTGGCCTCCAGCTCTGCCCTC